GCGCGTGACTGACGGAGTGGGACCCGGGCCGTGAGCGCGCGCCGCTCCCCACCGCCCCTCCCGCACTGCGAGTGAGAAGCAGCCTGGCTTCCACACTTCCAGGGTAGATATTTATAAGACCAGTGTTTATATTCCCACCCTGATTCTCCGAGAGCCATGAATACCTCCTGTTGGAACTCAGAAATAGTGGCTACTGGGGTCTTCTCAGTTGTTTTTACTTTTGTTTTGTGGGGATAGCAAGACAGAAGGAGAAGGAAAACTAGTGCCGGTATTACTGTTGAAAGTTAATGTATAATGAATTTTTCTTTGTTTGTGTTTTTGGTACTGTGGATTGATCTCAGGTCCTTGTGCTTGCGAGGCAGGCCGTGGAACCACTGAGCTAAATCCCCGGCCCTTGAATTTCTAAAGCATTTTTTAAAATATGTTATCTAGAAGCAAGATGTTTTTTAAGAAAATAAAATTTATCTAAAGTTTAAAATGCTGTAATGCATTAGTGTACTCATGTCCCTGAATTAGGGTCAGTGCTCCTAGAACCTTTGGTAGTTCCTGAGAACTTGCCCCTGAAGGACGGCCTTGGTGTCCGTTTGGCTCTAGAACCTAAGCGGAAACGCTCCACTTGCCAAACTACAGCTGAAGGAGTCGTGCTGCTCCCCTCACCTCCCAGGAGGGCTCGGAGGGTGAAAGTGAGCGCTCAGTGCTCTGGAAACCTCCCGGAAGTGCGTCATGCGCCCTGTCTGCACCCAGAGAGAGCAGGGCACCCTGGGAGTCCTGGCTGGCGTGGGCCAGAGTGCCACCCAGAGGGACGCAGGTGTGCCCAGCCCTGCCGGTGCCATGCTCATCCCGATCCGATCCGCTCTGCTCTGATAAAGCACTTTGAAGAGGCGCTGGGTGACCATGCTGGTGCCACGCCCGGGGCCTCGCTGTGACCCTGACCCCACTGTGACCTTTGTTTCAGATTGTGTAAGTTACAAATTGCATGGTTTAGACATCATTAGTATTTGATCAGTGTCCCCTGAACAAAATACATCCTTCATTGATTTTTCTTTTTTAAAAATTTTGTTGCATCTTTGTAGTAATGTAATTGTATTTTATGCCTGCTTTTTATAAAAAAGTAAATAAAAGAAATAAAGATGTAAATATTTTCATACTTTTCCTATGAAATAGTCCTAGAATTCTGCAGCTTTCACAAGTTCACCAAAAGATTTGTCTTTCCTGAAAGAAAAGATGGGAAGGCGTGGTGGCGCACGCCTGTGATCCCTGCCCTCAGGAGGCTAACGCAGGAGGATTATCAAGTTTGAGGCCACCCTGGACTTTGTAGTGAGGTCAAGACCAGCCTGAACTACATTGTAAAACCCGGTCTCAAAAAACCGAAACAAAACAAGATGGGCTGGTCTTGTGAGGAAGGCTTGGGCTTCTGATTGCAGGTGGGGTCATGAGATCATGAAAACTGCAGTGTTGGGTCTCAGCCAGGACCTGTGTCCACCTGGGTACCTGCAGTCAGACCTAAAACTGTGCCTGGAGTTGGCGAAGGTGGCCGGTTCCTAGGGTGCACTCGGGGCCCCAGGCTCCTGTCACGGCTGTTGTGCCACGGCAGGCAGGCACTGGAGGGGCGGACAGGGTGCACAGTCTGTGCCGATGGTCGTTAGTGTTGACGAAAAAAAAGATTCACTTGGGTTTTTGTAAATGACAACTGTGAATGAAACAACTACATAAAATGAGTAATTCTTTTTAGATACTGCATTGTTCTTCCTGTTAGTCCCAAGCAATACTAAAGGAATTAGCCAGTTTACTGAAAACATACCTTACATACATAATTTAAAATCATTGACAGCCTCAGTTAAAATATGAAAGTTTTATATGGGAAACTAAACATGTGGTCCATTTCCTGTATATGATGGAATAATTCACTTTGCTTAAATGTTAAATTTATAATGTTTTAGGGGATAACGCTGTACAATAATGTTAAGATCAAGTTTAGAATGAGATACGATGCTAAGAGTAAAATCCCGTATTTCAGTAGCTGAGACCTGGTGTTTGGTGCCCAGTCTGTGACGCCACGTGTGGGCGAGGCCCTTCCAGGCCGCACTGCGCCTTCCTCGCTCGGTGTGGCCGGCTGAGCTGCTCTCCTGCCCAGTCATTGCACCCGGAGCCTTGTTAGGACTCCTCTGGTGGGCATTTTTATGAAAACAGAATTTCCTAACAATAATAAGAGAAGAACAGGGCTTAGCAGCAGTTCTCAGAGAAGCCCTCGAGGCTCAGAGGTGAAGTGAAGCCAGGGACACGTGGAGTGCATCCCGGACCCCAGGGCTTTGCCCGGCGCTGCCCCCGGGCCAGTCCTCGTCACATGGCGCGTGCTGGAGCCAGAGGATGCAGGCACCGTGAGAGCGAGCGAGGGCTGGAGCTTGGTGCAGACCCTGGGCGTGTGAGCCTGGTGTGACCCCTAGCAGAGGCGGTGCAGACAGAGATTGACATTTACAACGCGCGCTTAAGGGGCCTTGTGAGTCCAAAACCCTCTGGCTTCACATTCCAGAGTGGCCGAAGGCTCTGCTCAGCGGCGCCGCGCTGTCAGTCGGTCTTGGCGGCCGGCTTCCGGTACTGCAGCACTGTCGCTGTCACCCAGATGTTTAAGGCCAGCATGATCACAAAACGGATGAGAACTGCAACAGACCAGAAGAAAGTGTGGCCATTAAAACCTTTTCACGTTCTCGGGGAAATAGCTTCCTGCTGTAGCTCACGTCTACATGAGGCTTCGCCTCCAGCCCGAGCAGCGCTGGAGCGCAGATCGGCTGCTCTTGAGAAGCAGTCTTCCCCCGGGGCTGTCTCAGGGTCTCAGTTCCTGTGCTCGCTGTCCCTCTGCCAGACAGGCAGTGTACGTCAGCCCCTGTTACGGTAAATCTGAGGAGAGGCCCCACAGCCAAGCCGCTTTCCTAACCCAGGACCACGAAGGTTTGTGGAAAGATCACTGTAAAGGACCCTCCCTCCGCGTCAGGCGCACCCCTGACAGATACAGACTATGAGACCTACGCTGCCTAACTCCTCAGCTGCTGCCCTGTTCTTAAAAGCTCATCCTAATACATGCTGGTCATCTCTAGGAGCCCCAGTCACAGAGGAGGCATGAGCCACGACAGGAGCACTCGTCGCTGAGTTTTCATTCGGGCTTGGTGTGGTGTCAGTGGGGTCTGACTCCGCAGCCTGCTGAGAATTCTCCAGGTCAGCGGGGAAACAGGCCTGGGACGTCTTTCCTGCTCTCCACTAGAGCAGAGTTTATGCTTCCAGTCAGGCCGATTTTAATCCTATAATTAGCACTGGCAGAAGTACAGTGGAGCCTCTGGGAACGGATTAGCAGGTGTCACTGTGTCTCCGTATTTCTTTCAGTAAACAGCTTTCTGCAGGGGTCTGCGCTGCAGCTGCCATTTCCTGATCACTGAACCAGGCAGGTCCATGGGCTGTCTCTGTGTCGATCACCTTCCAAGGACCCCTCGAGCATGCTCCATGTGAGAGTTGAAAAGGAGCATCTGTGTGCAGTGGCGTACACCTCTGATCCCGGCACTTGGGAGGCTGAGGCAGGAGGATCGCTTCAAGTTTGAGGCCACCATTTTCACTGCTGAAGCAAATGGTGGGAATCTACTCCTGTATACTCTGTCCCTGATGCTACAAGAAGCAGAGCCTTGCACTTGGTGACCATGCAGACTGGGCCAGTTCTGTCCTCTAAGCTACAACCTAAGCGAGCTGAGTTGACCTGTTAGAGCCTAAGACAGTTTCCTCTCCAAGGAGGCCAAGACAGCACCACGCCCACCAGAAAGGGGAAAGGAAAGCACTGCTAACCTGTCAGGTCATTGGTGGTCATGGAAGTTGTTATTATTCTCGCTGAAAAAGAAGATGGGCAGTATAAATAACTCACTTCACAGACATTTTGGTGTCCAGTGGATCCCTCGTTTAGCACACTGTGCTGTTGTGTGGCTCAGAACACGAAGCGGTCCAGTACACAGCCATCTAAAGACCCACACCCCAGGCTCAGAAAGCAGCTGTAAACTCTCAGTTGCCACAGGCTGGTGGCCTCATGAAGGGTGCCACCTAATGTAACTGTTTTTGTTTCTGTTTTTTGAGAAAGGGTCTCACTGCAGTCCAGGCCAGCCTCGAACTCATGGCAACCCACCTGCCTCAGCCTCCCAAGAGGTGGATATCCAGCTGCACCACCACCCCACCTTGCAAACACAGACACTCCTGGTTAGTGGGCTCTAGCTGAGTAGCTACTTGCAGAATGCCCACACCCAGGAAGCGGAAATGCTTAACTCCGAGCTCCCCAATTTTGGAGGGCAGGGGTGTCCTCACCTGCACTGGTGTAGGCAGAGAGGCCCCAGCTGAGCGCACTGGCAGTGCCCGAGTCCTGGGTCTTCCACAGGTACTGGAGCTGCATAAACTTGCTGGCTGCGCTGACCAGTGTGCACAGGTTCTGTTTGCAGATGAGAAAGCCACCGCCCATTGTTAGGAAAACTGAAGAGAGGCAGAGCCACGGTGCTGTGTGTTTTGTTTTTTTAAGAGACGGTCTCGCCTGTGTAGCCCAGGCTCGCCTCGGACTGGCCGTCCTCCTGCCTCAGCCTCCCGAGTGCTGAGGTGACAGGTGTGCACCACCGCACCTGGCTGTTCACTTTATTAAAAGCCACATTTTCAGGCCAAGTGCTCACCAGTTTGCACGAGATTGAAACCTGAGTGTGGTGGGGGATAAAATATCATTGAGATGTTTCCATCCAACCCATGAGTCCCACGGGGTAGCAGGATGAAGGAATCCCTGGGGCGGCTGCAAAGTTGCAGCCACCCACAGCTCTGTCCCCAAGGTTTCCTGGGCTTCTGAATCTGGGGGAACCCAGCTGCCCAAAATGATACCTGGGAACGCAGAGCTGTTGGCACAGGGCCCCAATCTCAGGCTCTTGCACTGACCAAGGGTGGTGTCGTGGGGCCGGCCACCTGCCAAACGGGAGCTGCATACGGGCTGCACAGGGGGGCAGGCAGGAGGGCTGGAGCCCCAAGGGATCAGGTTGTGCCAAGCCGGGCAGCCCGGTGCTGAGGGGCGGGGCATGTTCCGCTGCAGGAGCGGGTGTGTAGGGGGAAGCAACATGGTCAGAGGTTCAGGGCTGGCTGCATGATCCTGGCCATGAAAGTGCTATGGGCAGTGGGACATTCGAATTTAAAGAAATCAGTAATTCCAGCACTCTGGGGGTGCTGAGGCAGAAGGATGCAAGTTAAAGCCCAGCCTGGGCGATTTAGTGAGACCTTGTCTCAAAATAAATGAAAAGGGGCTGGGGGTGTGGCTCAGTGTGAAGACCCTGGGCTCAGGCCCCAGGACGGATGGCAGAGAGCGAGCAGGGTGGCTTGGGTGAAGAAGGCCACGGGCATGAGGAAGGATGTGGGGACACTGGAGGGGTCTGTCACTCACCATGGCCAGGTCGATGGCCCCCTTATGCAAGCCGAGGATGAACCAAGACAACAGGCATCTCACGTGGGGCTAAGGGGCACAGCCGAGGATCACAGGCCGCCTGCCACCCACCCGGCCCACGAGGGTGACACTCAGCCATCCTCCTGCCTCAGCCTCCTACGTGCTAGGATTACAGGCATGCGCCATTAAGCCAGGCTTTTTTATTTTTTTTGTACCCAGGATCAGACTTGGGACCTTATACTTTCAAGGCAGGTGGCGGCACTACTGCCCACCATCCTGGGGTCTCCCTCCTTTTTTTTCTTTTTTCTTTCTTTCTTTTTTTTTTTGCTGTACTGGAGAAAGAACCCAGGCTTGATCCATGGGCTCCACCACTGAACCCTCCAATCCCATTTCCAGTTCTCGGATGTTAAAAGGATACACAGCCAGGTACGGTGCAACCTGTTTCACATCCCCATTAAAATGAAAGATGCAGAGTAGGAGGACGACATCTAGAAGAAAGGCTCCAGTGAGATGAAGGGAAGCCCCAGGGAGCAGCCAGGGTGTGGGGTGCAGTGGGTGTGCAAGGGCAGCTACCTTGTGCGATGAGGATGGGGTACTCTAGGTAGGTGATCACTGGGCTCCCGTAGTAACACTGGTAGCGGAGGAAGACCAGGAACCTGGGAACAGGAAAGACACATGGTCACAGCCAGCCCCAAGGCCAGCACCTCCACCTAGTCCTGGAGCCCAGGATCCAGGAGGAAAACTTGGAACAAATCAGAGGAAATGGCACTTCAGTGATCTGCAACATCAGGTGGTGTCCTGGAGCTGCTGGGCACTGTAAACCCATGATTGCTCTGTTCTCAATATGGTCATTTGCTAGGAATGTGGGGCGTGGTGTCATCCCAGCACTCTGGGAGGCTGAGGCAGGAGGTTACAAATTTTAGCCCAGTGTAAGTTAGACCTTGTCTCAACAATGTGGAAGTGTACTGAATGTAATCATGTCCTGCAAACAATGTACTACATATACATATACATATACATATATATATGTGTGTGTGTGTGTGTGTGTGTGTGTGTATATATATGTGTGTGTGTATATATATATATGTGTGTGTGTGTGTATATATATATATGTGTGTGTGTGTGTGTGTGTGTGTGTGTGTGTGTGTGTGTGTGTGTATATGTGTGTGTATATATATATATGTGTGTGTGTGTGTGTGTATATATATATATGTGTGTGTGTGTGTATATATATATGTGTGTGTGTGTGTATATATATATATATGTGTGTGTGTGTATATATATATATATATGTGTGTGTGTGTGTGTGTGTGTATATATATATATATTCCCCCCTATAGCTGCAGATGCAGGTCTACAGTCCTGGGTCCCGGTTGTCTCCTGAGTTGTTAGGCCTGGGTCCCTGTGGCTGGTGACCCAGGCTGTCAGGATGACTGCTCCTGCCCCAGGCAGCCTGCGGTGCTCTTGGCCCCACCGCTCACCTCCAGGTCTGAGGGTTAAAGGCCCTCACTCTGTCCCCTGGCGGGAGCCAGTACTGTCCTTCAGCCCAGCCGGCCACGGGACAGCAGGAAGAGACCAGGCCCTGACCCAGCAGGCAGCGCGGCCCAGGGCGAGGGCTCCCGACGGTGTCACCCTGCAGCCCCCAGGCTGCACCGTCAGGGCCCCATCCAGTGCCACTCCAGGCTCCCCACACTCTCGGAGTCTGCCCCGCCCGGCCACTTCCACCCCTGCCTCGACCTTTGCAAACGCAGGGCCTTTGTGCTGAGCTCCATGCCCAGCCCTTTATTTTGTGACTGGGTCTCACTAAGTTGCCCAAATTAGGCTCAAACTTGTGACCCTGCCTCAGCCTCCCAGACTGCTGGGGTGACGAGCCTGGGCCACCAGGCTCGGCTAGAGTCCTGAGTGGGGGCACCCAGCGCGACTACCGGCAGACCGGCCCGCACCTGCAGCAGCCTCACCCTCCTCTCCTCTCCCACGATCTCGTCACTGTCCGAGTTCCCAGCCGGAACTCAGACCGAGTCCAGCCTCTCTCCTGGTGAGAACTGAGGCTGAAAAGAGGTTTAAAGAGGAGTGGGTTTAGAGACAAGGAGGGGCTCGTAGGTGCAAATGACATGGTGAGGTGGTGCACGCCTGTGATCTCAGCGCTCAGCGGGCTGAGGCAGGAAGATCGCAAATTCGAGCCCAGCCCCGGGCAACTGTCTCAAAGTAAAAAATGTGGCCACCACGGCCCAGTCCGGAATCCCCCCGGCCAGTTTCCCCGTCTGTCAGGTGGACTTCAGGGCACAATGCACGCGGTGGGCATGGCTCGGAAGCGCGACAGCCCCGCCCAAAAGCGACCCCGCTCCCCCCGCGCGGTGGAGCTCACCCCGCCAGCTCGAGCAGCAAGCTCGGGAGGCTGAGACCCCGC